CCCCAAAACCCCAAAACCCCAAAACCCCAAAACCCCATGAAGAGAATTAGTTGTTGGATTATGATTATGACAAATTTCTAGTATAAATATTTAAATTTAAATAGAGACAACTGAATAACAGGATTGAGAAGAAATGCAAATTCCCTAGTCATCTGTTCTCTAAGCCTTGTAAATTAAAAATGCATCGTCCCCATCTGGTAGCACCAACTAAAACTATAACTCAATTAGTAGCAATTACTACCACATGGATAGTAACAGCAGTCAGCTGTAGAGAAACTCTAACATCTCCTTCAGCAGTAATGTTCATAGGTAAATCTAAGATTACTTCTACCTTGCGAGTTGTGCCTAATAGAATTTTATAGGAATAAAAAGCAGTCACCTAACATAGTCAGGGATAATAAAATTTTCCCAAATGACTTTTTCTAGTACGGTCATTAGAACCTTAATGGCTCACCGTCATCCTCTTAAATTTTGCCATCCACTGGAGGCTAGAATATGAGAGATGCTCATAATCTTGATTTTGATGAATTGAATGAAAATTTCAATACTATCTAGAGGCTCCCAATCTCTAAACCATCTTTGTTTAAGCCAGAAAATGTGCCTTCTAATCCTACCAAAAAATTTATGTTTCCAAATGAAGACCTGGCAGGTAATCAAGCATTGAAGCAAAGCTACGGTAGAAGAAGAGACTAATAAATGAATATAAATGACTTACAAAATTACTCAGCTCACAAAGATTAATTTGACTCAATATAGCATTAGTTCCTGCATATGTCAATTGACAGTGATTAATTAGTAGGTAGACAAGGAAGCCTGACTCGGAAGTCGTTACCTTTCGGGATTATTGAAGCAGATTAAAATATAAAAGGACGAAACTATGCTGGGTCTCCTCCGCCAGTCTTTACAAACCCTTAAAATTTAATCTAAAGAAATAATGAAAATTTCAACAGTATAAATTCCAATAATAGGTAAGAATATTTTAAGCTTGGCTAAATCTAAGTTTAGTGTTTCAAAGAATCATCAGCAATAATCAATTGAATAGCAAATGAGGTAGAGTAAGAATTAGTTTCATAATAGTAATAATGATGGTAAGCTCCCAGGTCTCAGAAACTCAATAGGGAGGAATTCTCAAAATTATTTGGAAAATGAGTTAATGAGTTCTCACGGGTAAATACCTAATTTTCATAACTCCATTACTCCCCCTTCAATGAATTTAGGGTCCTAAGATTAGTACTTGAGACCTATTTAATAGCGAGTTCCTATCTTCATGCGTCATAACGTCCACAGAGAGGAGCTCGAAAACTCTAAAAATAATAGTTCGTCACATCTAAGAATTCACGAATAAGAAACATTCGTAACAAACTCTCAAAATAATCTAAATGCCAACTAAAATTAATACATGAATTATAACTCTAGCAATATATCTATCAATAATGACAGTATCTCTTCCTTGCCTAGACAGGTTTAAATAAGTCGAGTTGACCAAGAGGAGATTTTTCATGCTGCAAGTCCTTAAATCTCTCAAATTCATGACTACTCCTCTTCAAATTTAGCGTCTGGAGGTAAACACAGCTTAAACAGTTCTACTCTCCACCAGCCAAATAATAATCATCACTATTGGAGTAGATCTCCTCAAATACTTCGAGACCTAGAAATCAACCATCAAATAAATAATCAAGCCATTTATTTCCCGTAATCTACCAGAAATAATTCAATTTAGAGAAGCCCATCGATTGTCAATAATTCGGATAAGGGAGTCAAGTTTCCCAATATATTTAATCATAATAATTCCTAGATCACTACTGGATAATAATCAATAAACAGCTCCCAGAACCAACACTCATCCCTAAGCCATCCTCAAATAAAATTGAAGAAAGGTCAAATCAATCTTGATACTAATTACTAGATCGCAAAACAATAGCAATAATAACAGTAGCAGAGGAAAGAATCTGTTATTTTAGAAAGAAAAGAGACTTCTGAGTCTGAATAAAGTTAAAATACTCAATAGTAATTATAATAACCTATGAAAAAAGCTACCTTAGATAGAAAGATGCTCACTTCAAGGGATTAGGATGATAGATGGGTCAAGGTGCCAAAAGAGAAACCAATTATTAGGCATCAAAGCAAATCTAAATTGGAACACGTGAAGGAGCAGGTACTCGGCAAAGAGAAAGATATGACGGAGGAAGGAAAATCTTATAATAGGAAAAATTCCCCTTTCTCATAAAGTGGAATGTGTTGGTACAATTCAAACCAAAATTCTAATGATAAAGGCATGACCACCTTTGGGCCAAGTCCTTCTAACAAAGAGAACCCTAGAAAGAAGAGGAAAGAAGACTTGCCGAGGCACTCGCTTCCAGAGAACAGGAATACTAATTAATCAATAATACCTAATTAAGAAGAATAAAATTTAAGACTTCAAAGCAAGTAAACATAGAAAAGAAAGAAGTCAAGAGCTAATGATTCATAAAACTTGAAGTTAAGTTACTCTGAATTAGAAACCCCGAATTTCAAGTAACAGCAATCTCTTTTATAAAGATAGTCATTAAAGTAAAATAAATTTGAGGACGGTTATACATAGGCCAAGAAATTATATGATTAGTTTAATAAGATAGAGGAGACACCCTAAACTTCAAGAACAAGACACACTTAGCAGATATAGTTAACTGAAGAGGAGGATGATATGCATATCAATTATGTCTCTTGCTAACATGAGATATTTGAAGATGACAATAATTCACTATCTTCAAGAGCTGGAGCTGGATCCCCTGATATGAGATGTGCGAACTATGATAATTCTCAAACAACTGCAGGAGATGTGCAAAAGCAATAACTAGTATAATTCGCTTCAAGGAAAGGAAATGTGTAGGACCGTGGCCGGTCACCAGAACCCCTTACTGATGGAGAGATCAAGAAGTTCAAGGTTGTCACTAAGTCTAAAAAGAGGGAGAAGGAACATACATAAGAGAGTAAAAGTAAAATATTAAGGGAAATCGAAAAGAATTTGAAAAAGGTGAAAAATCCGACCTCCCACCTAGTGGAATAACAAGAATAAGTGAATATATAACAGCAAAATTAGGGCCCTTAAATTTCATAAAACTTAGCCGAAATCAAAGAGGGTAACAATAATAATTTGCCAAAGAAGATTCCAATGATTAAAAAATCGTAAATCCAAAATAATCCAAGCACTTAAAACCTTTAAAAAGCAAACATAACAAGGAATCCAAATAAGATGCAAAAGAAACTCGCCTCAAATCAGCAGTAACCTCATACTGAAAGTTAAGACTATGAACTGCAGCAATAAAAGGAAAATGATATTATTATAAAAAATTTGGAAAATCAGCCTAATAATTATCATTAGCAAACTCAAGCATAATACTTTACTATTTCTTAAAAGAGAATTCCTCTTACATCAATTGAGAACTAAAACATCTAGATTCAAAGTCAGTAGTTGTAATCCTAGAAGGATTAGAATATTCTGCAGAATATTAATAATAAAATATTATCGTAAAATTAGCAATAATAATAATAACAGCAGCAGTAAAATGCTATCAATATCGGAAATTAAAAACACCATATTTAATAGATCTATATGGCCGCTTAAATCCCCTAGGAATTCAATGGAATGATAACTTTTATGAATATCAACTCTGAGCATCACTCATCACAAAATAATGATGGGGAAAATGAGACTTTCAAGAAGACTGGTGGCTCAATAATGCAAGGTACAATGTTCAGTATGACTGGCGGTAGTCATAATGGCAGCTAAGCAAGCTGTAATAATTCTATAATTATGATGAGAAGTGAGAGTAATTATATGACTAGCGATTTCGGATAAATGATGAGTCCTATGAGTACCTCACACTTTGTAATAATGCAGCAAAAATGCATGCCTGGTGCAGATACCTCCAATTAGTCAAAAGCTAACCTTAATGAAGATAAAGGCAATATTAAATAAAAATAGCACCAGCATTAAACGTAAGAAGAAGAAAATCAGTTTGAAAGGGATGAATCCGAATAGTTTAAACTTGAATTTTAGAATTCAAAAATAAAGAAGCCAAATAATTCTCACAAAACCATTAATAACTCTGTACCAAAGAAGTCAGCCAATTATCACTAATGAATATTGTTTGTTTAGATTTACTACACTTTTATATGTTTTATATTGTTGGATTTAAAGTTTTAATTAAGTATTTGAATTCAAATCTGTCTTGTGTTAATTAAATATACATTGTGATGATTCTCTCTTTGCTAGGATAATTTGAGATTTTAAGTGCTTTCGACAGTCGTAGATTGGTAGATATGGCCGAGTGGCGTAATGGATAGCGCATCTGACTTCGGATCAGAAGGTTGAGGGTTCAAGTCCCTTCTCGGTCGTAACTTTTATTCCTTCACCGTTTCATTTTTATTCATATTCTTATTACCTTACTAACTCTCACATCTCTCTAGTATTGGGGTTTTGGGGTTTTGGGGTTTTGGGG